CAATGATATTCTCTTCCTTTTCCTGTGTTTTATGTCCATCTCTGCTTTTGTTAGCTCTCTTTCTGTTGCACCTTCCTCTTTCATTTCCTGCTTCGTAGGTATCTGATTATTGGTTTGTCTTCTAGGACTGCCATTCTATGCAAGCTACAATTTCTTCTTTGAACTCAGCAGGTTGCTAATTATGATATCTGATTTATATATTCTAGCATTTGCTCACTTATTATCATCATTCATTTTGAGATATTGATCACCCAAATCTCATATTTTCGGACACAAGTCTCCTAAATCATCATATTGGGATACAAGTTCCTTGAATCTCATCTATTTGGATACGAGTCCCCATATCATCATATTTGGATACAAGTCCCCAAATATTTTGTTCTTTGAAACAAGTCCCTATGGTTAATTCCCATTGATTAACCCCACTAAAGAAACGGGGCTGTTATGAATAAGATTTTAAATTGGAGGGATTTAGGAAGTTTGGCAAGATAGAGTTGGTTTTAAATGGGTTCAACATTGACTTCTTTGCCTTTGCAAGAGAGTAGGTTGAAGACAAGGGGAAAAATGGAAAATGGAAACTAAGAGCTTCAGTAGTTTAGTTGGGTAAGCGGTTGAGAATTAACCAGGGAGACTTATTTAAAAAACTTATTAGTTTTAGGGGACTTGTATCCAAATAGATCGATTTAGGGGAATTGTATCCAAATAGATGAGATTTGGGGGACCAACCTCAAAACCCCTTTCTTTCTACATCTTCCTTGCTCAATTGATTTCTTTCTAAGATATAATTCGTAAATGCTACTTGCAGGAGGGGGTAAACTTAACTTCGATAAATGCATATCAACTCCTATGTTTATGCCTCGCCTCTCCAAGGTTTGTTGGATGGAAACTTAGAAATATATTTCTGTATATTTTATTCGAGATATTCTTTATGCTTGACTGTGAATTTTTATTCAGCATATAGCTAAGATTCTCGGTCCCCGTGGTTTGATGCCAAACCCCAAAGTGAGTTTCTGCATAGATTTCACTGCTTTCTATTTTCCATTCCTTGGTAATTCTTCTTTAATGCTTCCCTCCCGTATATAGCAAGGATCTGTGACGAGTGATGTTGCTCCGGCAGTCAAAGCCGCAAAATGTGGCCGTCTTGATTTTAAAAGTGATAAAACTGCTAATGTTCATGTTGGACTTGGGAAGGTATGATGTTCAAGTACTTATTTCTCATTGAATATAAACATGTTATCATGAATAAATATATCACAATTTTGGATGAAATTTAAATATACTTGTGATGGAAGGATTACTCTAATACACTATGAAATATATCCACATACGGAAGTAACAGGATGCTGCCTGCGCAACACTTACAGGGGTTGCATAACTTCACATGGAATATTTTCATTCATTTTTTTTTCTGACCTATTTTCTAGAAACAGAAGCAGGACTTTGTTCCTATTGCAGTAATTCAGTATCTTGAGTAATGGATAAGTAGCATGTGGGGAACAATTCAGATTTGTGTGCGCTCATGATTCCAATATGAAATGGAACTAATTGACTTTTGTGTGTGTTGTGCTGCAACATGTATTGTCATTTACAGGTCGACTTCTCAGAGGATGCTTTACGTGAAAATATTGGGGCATTTGTGAATGCACTTTTGGTTGCAAAGCCTGTGGGTCTTAAGAAAAGTGAGTGGCCTCTTATGCATTTATGTTTGTTTGTGTGCTCTGAAGAGCTGTAGTTTATCCTTTGGGAAATCCTGAGGTCTATACAGTTTCAAGGCTTTATGTGGTAGCAAATGAGAAATTTTGGAATAAAACATTAGAATTCAAGAAATATTTAGCTGCCTAACCATGATGATCAGAATGCATCTACATTTTGCTTCATGGAGTGGTGCATTGATTGTTAATCATTCTGCTAAATTACTCTACATGTATGCTGAAGATCAGAATGGGACTTCTCCAAGCTTGGCTTCCATTTAATGCTTACTATTTTCTATGTCCACTCAGATAACTTTGAATTTTCTTTTTGCTGCAGCTTCGAAATATGTTGGCTATGTGAAAAACTTTACACTGACCAGCACGGTGAGTGTTACTTCAGGCTCTCTTGTTTGTGAGACACTTCTTCATAAAGCAGAAAACTTACAATTATTTTTGTATGACACTAATCACTGGTCTGGGATTTGTCCCTTATTATCTAGCATGACCCTTGAGCATATCATCTGAATCTATTACACACTGAATTTGTAGATATTTGATATTTTGTACTCAGGTTGAATGATTAGTCTTGAATTAAAATGTCACCGTCATACTTTTTTTTTAATAGAATTACTCAGGTTGAGTGACGAGTATAGAATTAAACTAAACGTCATGCTTTTTTTTTTATGATGATACTAGTAGATATGGTGGTTCATGATCTTTTCCCATTGAACTTTTAAAGAATAACTATCCGTAACATATTACTCTGATTTTTTTTTTTTTTTTGGTTCAGATGGGTCCAGGATTCCCCATTACAATACAGTCATTATCCATAGCTGCGGATAACTACACCAAACAGCATGCGAAGTAAATGATTGTCTGTTCACAGTGGAGCAAGCGAACAGTTTTTAAGGAAAGTAAACCCTAATCACTCTTGAAGCATAATTCAAATGCCCCTGCTTCTTCCTAATGCAGTAGACGACCCAAACTGAAGTTTCTTCCGGCAGAGCATCTTCTATTCGTACTGTTCGATGTTAATGGTGTTGTAGTGTAGCTCTTGCATGATATTTTGCAAGATGATGGCTGTACTTAGTTGGAGTTAGCTTTTCGAAAGCACCAAAATTCGAGGTGTAGACGCTAGTGTCTCTTATAGGGAGGTTATTATTCTTTTTTGTCATTGGCTGCTGATCACTGAAACTCTTGCTGATAATCCATCTAGCGCTATGCGAAGTTCTTTGGTCTTCCTACGGTGTAGGTTTCATCACAAGTGGCAAAATTCGGGCACATTTTTGTGTTAACATGTAACCTGCTTTTGTGCCTTATTTATGTTTAGATGAGTACGAGTTCAATAAAACTAGTACATACTGTTATGGGTCAGTCTGATTTGATCTTTCATCAAGTTTTGCTTGAAGGTATGGTGTTCATGTTGTTTTTTCTCAGAACCTGTTTTTTAAATCCACAGTACAGGGGTGAAGCTAATACCTCTTCATGTTTCAACATTAAAATATGACTAGTGGGAACATCGTGCAAAGCACGATATATATATATTTTTTTCTGCTACAGTAATCCCGTTTTTAACTGCTATGATATTTCTTTGATTTTTTGGATTGCTGTAGTATCCCATTTGTGTTATAGTAATCTCGTGTGCTACAGTTATTTTTTCAAAAAAACAAAGTGCTTAGTTTCTTGTTTACTACAGTAATAATGCTACCATAACATTTGCTGTAGTGTGAATAGTGAATCAAGGATTCTCCTACTTGTATAGAGGAGTAGATTCGTGGTTGGTTGTAGTGAAATCCTATAAAATAATAAATTTGATAAGTAATATCACTGTTTTTTTTCATGTGATCATATGCAAGTTATTTGCTCGCACAAGTCATCAATAATTTTTTTAATCAATGTGGTATTCCAATTTCTCTACAATAAGAATATACAAAATTCATAGCGGATACAAACATGCCGGTTTCTTTTTGGGAATTTCTCATCATTCCATTGTCTTTTTTGGAATTTCTCTGCAACTAGTTTGCGGTCCGTGCAAAGCACGGTATTTTTTGCTACAGTAATCCCACTTTTTTAATATGGCATGATTTCAAATTTTGAAAGCGCTACAGTATCCCGTTCTGCTACAGTGCCTTTTAAATGCTACAGTATACCCATGTGCTACAGTAATATTTTAAGTAATTATTAGCTACAGTAACAATACTACAGTAAATGCTACTGTAGTATTTACTATAGCATGAACAGTGAATCTTTGATGCTCCTATTTGTATAAAGGAATAGATAAGAACTTACAAAATTCGTAGTTCCTTCAAACAGCTGACAATTTGGAGGAGACCTACAAACTAGCTGGATATATCATAAAAAAACAGAGACATTTTAAAATAACTTAAAATCTGAAGGGCCTAATGGCAATTTCTACGATTCGGATACTAATAATTTCAAAATAACTAAAGAACCTGAGACCTAATATTCTTCTCCCTAATTTGATTATTTGAGGGACTAACTCACAATGTGATAAGTTTAAGGAACTAATTTCAAAACATAAAAGCTTTAACAAGGGGTTAATTTCAAAATATGAAAGGTTTATAAGACACAAATATCGAAGAAAAGTGGGGCTAAAAATCACGTGGACGCATGTGACTTGCCGCTATAGTTCCTGAGTTCAGGACCGTGGCAATTCCGTTATTTGACCAAATTCTAGGGCTAAAACAGTAAAGTCCCGCCTACTTCCTCCTCAATAGTACCCATCCCTTTCTTCTTTTATTTCGCGTTTGGGCTAGCGTCGTCAAGGAAATAATCATAATAATAATAATAATAAACAAATGAATTAAAAAAAAACACAAAACCAAAATAAATAAATCGAAATCAAAATTAAACACAAAACCCTAGAAGATTCGTTTCCTAATAGATAACTGCTGAATTTTTGGGATAGCGAATTCGTTTGGGAATCTCTTGGTTCTCGATTCCTCGCACGTGAGTTTGATCGAGATCTGAAGTGTTTCGATCCGTAAAGAGGTAAAGTTTCTTCTTTTTTTTTTTGAGATTTTAACTGAATTTTTGTGTGGTTTTGGCCTTTTGTTCTATTTGTTATTTTAGATCTAGGGTTTTGTTTTTGTTCGAAGTCTTGCTTGCTGTTGTGATAAGGATAGGGTTGAGGTTCTAGGGTTTTGGAGTCCGATCTTTGTCGTTTCGGGTTTTAGATAGATTTTGCTGACAGTAGTTGGATGTTAATCGAAGATATGATGCCTAAATCCTTAAGTTGGGCGTGGGAAATTTTCAGTTAAGGATGACTATAGTTCATATTTTCTTAATTTTTAGTACTTCTTCAGTATTTATATGATTTTTTTTCTTAATAATACATTTGGTAGACTGATTTGTTTGAATTGTTAGTTACATGCAGACTCTATATGAAATTAATTCTATGATAATTGTGGGCGGTAGAAGCTTGAACATGTGAGTGAAAAAATGCTCCTTGTTAACAAATTCCTTTGTGGCCTGTTTGGATGGAGGGTAGAGAGGGGGAGGGGAAGAGAAATTTAATTTTATCATTGTTTGGAAGTTCCATTTAGGAGGGTGGGGGGAGGGGGGATTTGAGCCAAAATCTTACACCCCAAATTGGGGTGTAATGAAGGGGAAGGAAAGGGAACTTTTCCCCTTCCCTTCCCTAAGTCATCTCCCAAATACACTGTTGGCCCTGAATTATTTACATATTCACCCTGAATTACTTAGATATCGTGATGGTATTCCACTGTGTTTTAGAATTACACTCATTATAAATATAAATGTTTCTGTTGTGCTCTCCATTTGTCGAGTGAAACATATTTCTGCTGTAACATACTTTAGTGCTTGAAACTCGTTTTGAATTGTTGATTGTGAATTGCATGAGTTTCTATAACTGATTTCTATTGTATGATATGTGTGTTTGGACCTCTCTTCGGATTGTTTTTATTCTTGTGGTGACCTATTCTGACAGGGATATTTCTTTGCTTACCATTTCGATAGCTGCTAAGCTTTGTTCCAACTAATTAATTGGTGGCTTTATTTATCTTCAACCAGTTCGGGTGAAGACTGCATCCTTGTTGAACTGAGACTGTAACCTTACTTGTTTTTTTGGCTTCCTTCCATGTTTTTTATTCTGTCTATAGTAACCTTAAGAACCAAGTGCTCTGCAATTGTTGTGAACTTATATCCCCAAGTTGCAGCATTATTTGTACCTCCTTTTTCCTGTTATTTCCTCTTTTAAGCGAATTTTTTTTAGAAGAAAGAGTCTTCTACTTAGTTAAATATATGTTTTGGTTTTGAGATCTAGTAATCTGTTAGCATGCAGGCATGTGCTATGCTGGTTAGGGCGAGTTGCTGAGATTAATTTGACAGTTCTGACATTATTATGTCTCATTAGCAGGTGGGAGACATTGACAGAATGGCGGATGACTATGAGATGAATGACATGGAGGATGATATGGATGAAGAATTTCATGAAAGAGGGATGGAAGATTCAGATTACGACGAGGAAGAAAACGCCCATTCAGTATGTCATATCCATAAATATTCTTCTCATAATTCTATGCAGTACAATAGTTTCTTTTCCTTTTTGGTTAAATTCTAATGAGGACATGCATTAACAGTCAATTGCTAGTTTCTATGTCTTTTTTGTGTTTGATGTTTGGACATTTGCTCTTTATGTTTTCCATGACGGGTCCTATTTAATTTTTAACGATTACATTTGTACTCGTATGAGGCACTAACAAAGGCTTCCTGATTTTGTGCAGAATGATAGAGTAACAGACACTTCATCTGCAGAAGCAAGAAAAGGAAAGGATATCCAAGGGATACCCTGGAATAGGTTAAGTATCACAAGGGATAAGTACAGACAAACTAGACTAGAGCAATACAAGAATTATGAGAATGTTCCTAATTCTGGAGAAGTTTCAGCTAAGGTATTCTAGTTAAACAGTTTTAGATTATTTTCAGTTGTATTTTCTTGAACATCCTAATTGGCATCGTCTTGTGCATAGGAATGCAAACCAACCAAGAAAGGAGGAAACTATTATGAGTTTTGGCGCAACACAAGAGATGTGAAGTCGACTATCCTTCATTTTCAGGTAAGATAAATGTTTCTAATTATATCTTTTTTTTTGTTTCAAATTAGAGTCCACATTAGTCATAATGTATAATATATTTTTCAAAGCCTCTGTTTTGTATATAGTGTTTCTATTCTAATTTCATTACCAAGCACATAATCTTGGTACACCTGTTGTCTGGGTGTTATACATGCACTGAAATTAGAATTAACTATCAAGATCAAGAAGTACCAATTTGCATGATAAATTTCTTTAGTTATGTAAAGTAAATTATAAACTAGTGTTGTCAATGCGCGAGGCGCAATGCGGGGCGTATAACATCTTTACGCAGACATGCGCAAGGCACAACACAGTGTGCGTGCCCAAGTGATGCGGGCGCACACCACACATAATTTTTCAAGATGGATAAACAAGCACGAAAAAACATGTTTAGGAATTCACATAAAAATATGTCAAGATAAGTAATATCTTATTACCAAATCACAATATAAGGTCTTAATTTCTAATACTAACACATCCAACATAGTGATAAAATTCATAATTTTTCAAATCAAATGTCAAATCAAGACTAATATCCAAGCAAAACCAAATAGTAAACAAGAATTAGTTAGGGTCAAGGTTATCGATAGCGGATAACGTCATGTAGCGGTGAGGCATCACTAAGGCTATTTCGGGCTATTGCGGCAAAATAACGGTAAAAAGCGTAAAGCCAAATAGCGGTCTAATTTAGATATGTATAAATACTAAAAAAGAAAAATTAAAGAAAAATCTAAGAAATCTAAAAGTACATATTGGATGATTTAAAGAGATCCTAAACATGAAATAGACATGTAACCATCATGTAATACCGAATATGATTGGAGGAATCAAAAAGTCGTTGTCTTCGAGAAGAAGAGCTTAGCGGTGACATGACTGCCCTAAGAAGAGCTCACGGTGAAAGAGGTGAGATGAAGTATCAAGATAGGTGCCAGAGACTATGAGAGGTGGCGGGAGTATGCTAAAAATCACAGGAGATGGTGGAATGCAATGGTCAATGGTTGAGTTTAATTTTAAAAAAATAAGCCTCAAACCGCTTTTAAATAGCAGTCAAAAAGCAAATTTCGAATGCAATCGCTCACTATTTATCGTTATGACACACTATTGATCGCTTTTGCGAACAGACATATTCCGCAATATGTCACCGCTATTGCACGATAGCGTCGCGGGCGATAGCGTCGCGGGAAGGGACCGCTAAAGCTATTAGCGCCGCTATTACGGGGCTATTTACCGCTATTTGTAACAGTGGTTAGGGTCCTCAATTGAAGGCTTACTAAAAAGGCCTACTGTACAGTGGTAAGGTTCATAAATTTTCAAATCAAATGTCAAATCAAGACTAATATTCCAAGCCAAACTAATTAGTAAATGAGGATTTGTTAGGATCCTCAATTGAAGGCTACTAAAAAGGCCTACTAGATTTATTTTGTTTTTTGGTAAATGGGTTATTGGGTATAAAGACTCGATTATAATGTTAACGAACAAAAATATACGAGGCTATGTACTACACGCACCCTGTGCAAAGTCAGGATGCTTGCGATGTGCAAAAGGCGTTGCTGCATCAGATGCGGGAAGCTTCGCCAATGCCCCGCATCGCAAGGCGCATGAGCCGTGCGCCTTTGAAAACGCTGTTATAAACTGTATATCTAATGATAAACCAGATATGCGGGACAATGTTGCAAGGGCAGGTGCTGGAGTATATGTAGTAACTCCATTGTTATGTGCAAGATACTGAATGAGCACATGTCTGGAAATTTCAGCATGTTTCTGGCCTTGAACCGACTTTGAGACAGTTGGATTTTGACTGGAGTTTAATATTCATGATTTATGCAATGATTTATACTTTTTGAGATTTAGAGTTCATGTAATATTGCATTCGCAACATTTCTTGTTATAAAACTTGAGGTGATACATACGTGCATATATACAGAGATTTACTTATGGCCAGATATATGACATATTCATACCTGAGGTACATAAGATTTTGATATCAACGTTTTGCATTGTCTGCCTATGTTCCATCTCCCATGTCCATATCATGGGTGATTTATTAGATAATTTACATCAGGTTAGTTATAAGTTGAAATGTTGAATTAATCCTCATGTTTTTCAGAAAGTTTGACCACACCGTCCGAACAGAAACGGAAGATCAAAATTTTGTTGCAATCAGTCTGCCTAAAATCAAAAGAATAAGGTTTTCTACTTATAGAATGTACTCTTGCGCCCGGTTTTGTACGTGGGAATCAAGTCAATGAGAATGGAATGAAGTGAAGAATGGAATGGAATGCTCATTTTCATTCTCTTTGGTTGTGATTAACGAATGAATAGGGAATGACAATCTTTTTTTCTTTGGTATTTGGGTAATCTATAATTAATCATGTTATGTTTGGTACTTATTATAAGTTTTTTGATTCCCACTTAAGTGGGAGTTCTCGTTCCTTACTATCTCATTGGGAATGCATGTTTCCACATAAAGTGAGAATTGATGAGATGTGAGAATGAGATTTCTAGCTTTCAAAGACGTGCCGTGTTTGGTACGAACGAATGAGATGTGAGAATGAGATTTCTAGACTTAGCATTCCATTCTCATTCATTCCCACATACCAAACGAAGCGTTAGAGAAGATAGTCATCTTTTAATTTGACCATGTTATGTAGGTTGAAGGGAAAAATGAATTATTCAAGGATTTTTATAACTATGCTTGTAATAAGGATTATGGCGAAGCAGCATTCCATGCTACTGCTTCTCATTTATGTTGCATCATATGTGTCTATTTTTATTCTTGAAATGCTCTGTGTAGGCTCTGAAGTTGGTTATCTTTCGAAGCAGCATTCCATGCTACTGCTTCTCATTTATGTTGCATCATTTGTGTGTATTTTTATTCTTGAAATGCTCTGTGTAGGCTCTGAAGTTGGTTACCTTTCGAACCTCTTATCTTACTCGCACCGGCATTTTCTATTCTTACCTACCTAATTTTACAAAACTTTTAATTTTCGTTTTTACTGATGTTCAAAGTCAAGAGTGAAAAGTTGTTTTCTTTCCTCTTCCTTTTTTGTGGTGGCGGTGGGTGCTGAATATTTTTTATTAATTTACATGTTGTAGTTTATGGTATTAATATCGTTAGTCAGAGGATATAAGAGATGTTTGATATGTTGAAGTCCATGCAATGAATTCTTGGAGAGCACTTCGCTAAGTATGATTAGTAAGCTTCCTTTTTGATGATATTCAAAGAATGTATTTGATCATGCTTTTCTATCAAGTATCCTCGTTGAATTTTTTATGTTGTCAATTGAGTCAATGATTATGGGTTGGGTTGTGGAATTTCAAGAGTCTGAAAGCTGAAGTTCAGCAAAAACATCTTAAATTAGAGTTTGAAAGTTGTGGCTTGTGGGTACTAGGGCCTCATATATTTCTTTTTCCCCCTCTTCTCCTTTCCCTTTTACTGTTTCTGCATTATTCCTGAGTCTGGACAATAAAAAATGCACTTGAAATCCTTCCTATATCCACCAAAACAGGACAATTTTTGTTTCGATAGTATACTAAGAACGTCTCTTTTTTCTCGGAGGGTCATAAGTGTGTAGGGTTCTGGGATTGCAAGCTAGAAAATGCTATAGTTATTATTGAACATCTAGAAGTCACCAAGGTATTCCAACTATTTGAAAAGTAGGTTGGCAACATCATTTTTCTCTAAATCTGTTGACAATGTTCTGATCAGCAGTGTATTCAATTGCTAGGAAGACTCTGACTTAATTTCCAATGCTTCCGCGGAGTCAGAGTTGTAGGATCCTGTAAGAAAGCAACAGTAGTTCTGGTACCTTCAAGGTTCCTATAAATATTGGCGATGAAATGACTGGGATTAGTTGTCCATCTCCCTCTGGAGTAATTAGTGCACACTTTTAAAGGACTTATATGTGCACACCCAAATAATGTTGGTTTGGAGGAGCATTGCTCAAAACCTTCTGAACTAGCGATTGTGTCCCAGCTCTAAATGATCATACACTGAAATTAGGCTACATTTGCAACCAAGTTAGCTGGTGTTGCATTTCGAAGGGGTCATTGAAATCAGATGTGCTAAACATATATATGGCAGTATTTTGCATTAAGTTTGCTGCTGGGATGTTTTCTATAGTCGTATATTTGCTGAGATGAGGAGACATAAAGTACACTGTGTTATTGCTAATGATTCTTTGTCATATCAGGTCTTGCAAATTTCTTAGATTGTTGTTGTTGGGAAACTATTAATTCTTTAGATTCTGCAGCTTTCCGTGGACATTTTTCTATAAACCAGTAATTCTTATTTTCTGTCAGCTGACATGCCGTGCCTTTTCTCCTTCATGATCATACACTGAAATTAGGCTACATTTGCAACCAAGTTAGCTGGTGTTGCATTTCAAAGGGGTCATTGAAATCAGATGGGCTAAACATATATATGGCAGTATTTTGCATTAAGTTTGCTGCTGGGATGTTTTATATAGTCGTATATTTTCTGAGATGAGGAGACATAGAGTACACTGTGTTATTGCTAATGATTCTTTGTCATATCAGGTCTTGCAAATTTATTACATTGTTGTTGTTGGGAAACTATTAATTCTTTAGATTCTGCAGCTTTCCGTGGACATTTTTCTATAAACCAGTAATTCTTATTTTCTGTCAGCTGACATGCCATGCCTTTTCTCCTTCATGCAGCTTAGGAATCTAGTCTGGGCAACATCAAAGCATGATGTTTACCTTATGTCACACTATTATGTTATACATTGGTCTGCTTTGACCTGTGAGAAAACTAAAGTTCTGGACGTTTCAGGGCATGTGGCACCATGTGAGGTGAATGTTTCTTTTGTTGAATAATACATATTCTGGAATTCCTTTTCTATTACCTTGGAAAAGACATGCTTTGTTTAATCATTTTTTATAGCAGAATGTATTTAATTAATCTCACACTGCATATTTGTTTGGTACAGAAACATCCAGGTAGTCTATTGGAAGGATTTTCACAGACACAAGTCAGTACACTGGCAGTTAAGGATAAGTTGCTTGTCGCTGGTGGATTTCAGGGAGAACTTATATGCAAGGTTTGGTTCTTCCTTTAACCAGATTCCCTTTCATATTTTTGCACACAATCTGATGACCAACCAATCATGCGCCTTCGTAAAGTTGCTTTTCTAAGAAGGGTGTTAACCTAGATCATCTGAATTAGGAAATAAGAAATCTTCAGATTCTTCTTATATCTTAGGTTGTGGCTATGTGGCATGACCATGTTACACAAGTAAGCCATCTCCTGAAATGACAAACAGACCATCTAGCATGTATTAATTTCATTGAAAATTGATAGAAAGCCCGTAAAGAATATAATGTTGGCACCTCTTTATCCTTGAGAAAGATATCAGCATGTTTTACTGTTTGCTTGTAGGACTTAACATGTTACATTTTATCTCCATTGAACTCGAAGTTGCCAAAAGATTTGCATGCTGGGACATTTTTTTGTAGAATGATAAATGTGACCTAGAAGGTGGATGATTCTATTTTATTTCTTATAATGATGTTTTGGGAAATTGCAGTATTTGGATCGACCTGGAATTAGCTTTTGTTGCCGGACAACTTATGATGACAATGCAATTACTAATGCGGTGGAAATTTACAACAGCTCCAGGTACATGGTTTTTATGCTTATTCTGTCAGTTACTATACTCTGAAATTCTGCTTTGCTAATTTTGTTTTGTCATCTATTCAGTGGGGCTCTGCACTTTATGGCATCAAATAATGATTGCGGAGTCAGAGACTTTGATGTGGAAAAGTTTCAGATATCTAAGCATTTTCGGTACCAATGGCCAGTGAATGTAAGACATCAGTTTTCAGTTACATGTTCTTTATGCTTTTGTAAGGCTGAATTTTTACGTAATCCATGTCCTGGTCTTGCAAATGCTTATTACTAAAAAATAGTAATACCACTAACAATATGAGGAGTTTATTGCGTATATACCCCCTGTATTATGGGCATGTGCCACTTATTATCCTTGAATTTCAAAATAGGCATGCGCATTCACCCTTGAGTGAACTTGTTTTGAACTTTTTGCCCTCCCTCCCTCGCGTTCGTTCATTCATTCAATCCATATATTCAATGAAAAATTGAAATACGAGGATACATTATAGGGATATGTACGTAAGAGAGAGATTCGGTTTGGTATTTGAGTAAAAAATTCTTTTCAAGGGTTTACATATGCACATGTTGTTATAATTGAAATGGAACAGGATTGATTATTGGAAAATGAGTACTCACTAGTCATATTAGTCATTTAGTCATAAATCTTTTCCCTGCTTTTGGCATTCAATGAAATTAATTTTATTGGAGATAAAAATTGAAGAACTCTTCACTAATTCAAAGTAAATTGAATCCTGTGGAATCACTCTTATAAAGCAAATTGAGTTCGATTCTTTAATGATCCACATTACTTCTAGTTCTGTCGAAACAAAGGATTTCCTTTTTCTGTGGAAAAGACCCGTATCCATAATGATTCGTTCATTCATAGAGCTATGTACTCGATCGCTGACATTTCTTCAACACCTCTCCCTACCGACCTATCTCTCCGTTCCCACCCTCCCCCTTGCAACCATCCCCCCACCTTCTTACCCGTCCACACTTCCTTCACCTATTTATCCAACCTGACACATTCACCCTTTTAACCCATCTATCCAAGACACATAGGGCTATCTAAACTTCTAAAGTCCATCTGCATTTTATCTCGGCAATGAATATAGTTTTCCTGATATACTTCACGTAACAAGTCACTTTTTGTTTATATCTGGTAAGTTTTTTGACTCACTGATATTTCATGGTGTGGCGAACTTTTGGACTCAATTGAGGAAACAATTTTTGACATCTCTGAATTGCTCAATTAGCTTTCTTGTCCACCAAACCATATTTTCTGTTGGTACTCATAATATTGTTCTAGACCCTATTAATGTATCTTCATTCATTATTAATATTACATATTCACGTTTAATATAAAATGATGTTCACTAGAATCACTGCACGTTATTGATGTATGATACATATATATATATATATATGTGTGTGTGTGTGTTGTATGTTATATATAGGTAGCAGCTTTTATCTCAGTATCTACCTGTCCTGTCTTTATAGTTTCTGTCGTATTGGAATATGAATCACTTTGAAATTTATTATTGAGACCACTGCTACTCTCTGGATCCAAGTTAATTTTGACACCGTTGTCATGAAAAATGATTTAAGGACCCAAAATATGGGACCAATGGAGGGGACAGGTGAGGTATCCCCTCCCTATTGCATAATGAGTTAGCACAACCAACTCATTATGCAATAGGAAGGGGACACCTCACCTGTCCCCTCCATTGGTCCCATATTTTGGGTCCTTAAATCATTTTCCTAACATATTATTGTACTGTAGATACAGGGAGTGTCTCTTCTTGTTTTTGATTTAGAATACCAAATCAAGAACCCTATATTTGGAATACCATATAGGGAGCTTGTTAGAGCCAAATATTCACATCATACTCCCTAAATTTGAGCTTAGGACATGGGATAGGGAGCCTCTTGAGCTAGGACAGTGGTTTTACCGAGCTTTGGTTGTTGCGGAAGAGGCATAATAAATTTACCCACAGCAAAAAATCAAGGAAAAAACCAAGTATTGTGAAAGATGATGTTGACCACAGCGTAGTCTGCGTAGAGGAGCACAAAAATATATCTTGGGAGTCCATTCGTTCGCAGCGGAAAGCTGAGAGATAAAATTCACTAATATGCAAGCTCCATCTTTTTTATTAAATTTGCATGTTGCGGATAAAATTTTATTTATTTTAGTTTTCAGCTCTGAAAACGTTTGGGCAGTCCCTAGATCTCACATAATATTAATCCACATGGTATCTGGTTTAATGGTGAAGCAAAATCAAACAAGCCTTATCTAGGGAAAAGATTGCTTGCTAAAAAGTTGCAATTTTTTCCTTTAATTTATATATTTGCTCATACGAAAAATCCCATCGTAAATTTTTTTTTTTTTTTTTTTTGCATTAGTTTAGAAACTACTTTGTAAATCGATATCAAATACATATTATCTAAATAAAATCTGCCGAGTAAAGAAAATTAGGAATAATATCAGCCAATTTATACAAATTAACTGACTAAAGAGAAAAGATCTAAAGAATCCTATCACACACACTGATCCCGTAATTTACCCCCCGAAAAAAAACATAATATTATTTACAAATAATAACATCGAAGTCAAGGGGGCAAAAAATTCCAATTCCTCTACCTTAAAATCGACGACGGCGACCGTTCTTGAACGACTTTGGCCGTCTTCTTCGATCGGAAAACCCTCATCGGGCTCGGAAAACTCCACTTCCTTATATATATATATATATATATATATATATATATATATATATATATATATATATATATATATATATATATTTGTGTGTGTGTGTGTGTTGTATGTTATATATAGGTAGCAGCTTTTATCTCAGTATCTACCTGTCCTGTCTTTATAGATTCTGTCGTATTGGAATATGAATCACTTTGAAATTTATTATTGAGACCACTGCTTCTACTCTTTGGATCCAAGTTAATTTGGACACCGTTGTGATTAGTATGAAATCTGCTGGGTATAAGATCTGTTTGGGTTTTGTGTGGTTTTTTGCGTGAGGAGTTGGATGAATGTTGCTCTGCTTCTGGTGGGCTTGTTTATGACCTATAATGTTTGTTAACTTAATATACTAATTTTTTTTGTGCAAAAGCTAAACACACTCTTTAACATGGATGGAATTTGCATGTCTTCCAATTCTTCACATTTGGCATTACTTCTTTGTAGCATACATCCCTGAGTCCTGACGGGAAGCAACTTGTCATCGTTGGCGACAATCCTGAGGGAATTCTGGTGGATGCTCATACCGGAAAGGTAAAATCATTTTAAAACTTTTGGTTGCTTGCACTTTAATACCCCAAAGTTTCATTCTTTTTTATTCTGATACCCTGAAGTTCTATCTTGACAATTTGATGCCCCATTCAAATTGATTTTAATTTGAAAATTTTGATAGCGTCAAAGTGCTAACTTCGTTCCTCACTTTACCCAGACTCCAAAAAAAATACAAAATTAGAGTCAACATTTATGCACTTTGGCGTAACAAGTTGGCAAAATAGAACTTCAGGGTATCAGAGTTAGAAAAGGGTGAAACTTTGGCGTAAACACACAATACCTTCTAGTTAACACAATTATCCTCATCACAGAACATCCAAGAATTGCAAGGGCACTTGGACTACTCCTTTGCGTCAGCATGGAACCCGGATGGCCTCACATTTGCGACAGGTAATCAAGACAAGACCTGTAGAATCTGGGACACCCGAAATCTATCAAAATCTTTAGCTGTCTTAAGAGGAAATCTTGGAGCGATCCGATCCATCCGATACTCATCGGATGGTCGGTTCATGGCAATGGCAGAGCCTGCGGATTTTGTCCATGTCTTTGATGTAAATAGTGGGTATCAGCAAGAACAAGAGCTCGATTTCTTTGGGGAGATTTCTGGCATGTCCTTTAGTCCAGACACCGAGGCTTTATTCGTCGGTGTATGGGACAGAACTTATGGGAGCTTATTGCAGTTTAACCGTAGAAGGAAGTATTTGTACTTGGATTCGCTAGTTTGAGGCTATGAAGATGGCCAAGGATTGTGTTCTTGATATTATAAGGTTGGGACGTTTTAGAAGTCTATAAAGGGGAGAGGTGTAAAGTTATGGTTTGAGGATAGTGCAGTTAAGTAGTGAATTGAAGAATTCCATAGCTCACTGTAAAAAAAAAAAAACACCCATACGTTTGTAGAAGAGTATTGACTGTATTTACTCATGGTGTTAGTGTTTTTTTTTTATCATGAATCCTCTTGGCTTCCTTCGTGATATTCGGAGGTAGATACTGGGCAAGCTCAAGTTGCAGAAAATCCTGGAGATTTCAAAGATTTTCTCCTGGAGAGTGGAATGGGTTTTGTTGAATTGAAGCTATATTACGTAAAGGGTGAGGTTACCGACTTTTAGAGAAATAAATATATAATGGGCCATTGTAAAACATGGACAAATTTTCCTTTTGCTTTTCACGTAAGGACCCAAGGAAGCATCAGTTTTGCTGATGCAGGGAAATGACAATTAACGCATTGATATTCAGTTTTTATATAATCAGTTTTTATATAATCACAGAATATTATACATTGAATACAATACGGAACACGAGATATACAATACAAACCACAAGAAAATAAGAAACAAAACAAAGAAAAAACCAACATATGGTGCTTATTTACTGCGTACATCTTTTGGAATAATAGGATATCCTCCGTAAACGCTCCTCGCCGAATGCTTCCAGTCCAGTAGTGACGGATCCAGAAATTTTTTCTTAGCGGGCGGACGAGCGTCAATTTGCCTTGATTTTTTTTTAAATATTATGCGACTATAATATCCTTTCCAATTAGCTATTTCAAAGTATTGTTATTATTATTTAGTATTGCGTGATTTTGCATGATTTTTTTTTGGGTTTGCAACTGCACCCTTAGCTAGGCTTTGGATCGGCCTTGCTTCCATCGACTATGGAACTCGCCCTCACCCTTAAGGTGTCGGAGAGAACGCTTGCACTGCGGCTCAGTAACCTTGAAGTACCTGCATCGACCGTTTCTAGCTTCGTGTCCGATCAATCCACAGAAAATACAGTACTTGGGGAGATTTTCATACGACACGGGCAGCATAACACCGCAAAATGGTAGGCTCCATACTAATGGCTTGGAAACATCGATATCGACCCTTACGCGAACGCATCTATCGCTTCCATCGTGGATCTCTTCGAGGGAAGACACTGTATTTCCGAACACACGATTCAACGAGGCCAGCAGTTCTGGAGACGGCGATGTGTGTTTTGGGAGATTATGCATTCGAGCGTAGAAGGGAGAGGTGAAGAAAGGGTATGCGCGGGGGGGTCGACAAGGTCTGCATCTCTGGACGGACACCAAGTTATCTCGGAGCACCCAGGGAGCTCCTTCGACGACTCGGTCCACTTCAGATTTCGCTTCGAATTTCGCGAAGAAGACGTCGTCGTCTCCGCAGTACCCTGAAATGACGCAGGCGCACTTCCATAGGACGGGAAGCTCTCGTTGGAGCTCCGACAGGCTCGTGGCTTCCTCGGCGATGATTTTGAAGACGAGGTATAGAGACAGGTCCTCTCCCTTGAGGAGAACCGATTCGGGGATTTGGATGGGATCGGTGCGGCTCATGAGGGCGCTTGCGGTTTGTTTCTTTGGCGTGGTGCGGCTCATGAGGGCGCTTGCGGTTTGTTTCTTTGGCGTTGGCAAACTCATCTCGCTCTACCTCCTTGTTGCTTATAAGCGAAAGTTTTTCGGAGGGGGGACCTGGTCGAAGTCGCCATTTGCCGGTAAATAAATCATTATGATCATTGTTTTCCCTCGTTAAGGATGACTTGCGTTTTACTATAATAACAAATCACAAAGTCAGACATCCAACTATCCAAGCCATTGGCGCAAAAGGGTTGACCATCTAATGAAGACGCCATTGTTGTTTGTTGTGCTAATCATATAGTTTGCCTCTTCAACTTGATCATGACGTCGTCTTTTGATGATCTTCGTTCATTATCTGTTAATTTTGCATTGACATTTGTGCTAGCAAGCGATACAGACGAAGGCACGAATCTCAAAGATAGCATTGATGTGTAGCACATATCTCAAAGCGTAACGAAGGGATAAAAAAGTTTGGTGGACAAGCGCTCCTATCCACTTAAGTTTATAGGGGTTTTTTACTTTTCAAAATATTGCTTTAACGTGCCTTATATACTTTGGCCTTTCATTTCAAGTTGATACCCGCTAGGACTATATTTGTCTTGCTTTACCCAATATTACCCGTTGACACACTATACATGCTTTTATATTGACTGTTAGGAGTGGAAATTCTATCAACATCATAATGAACGATGAGAGGATATTTTGGAGAAAGTATTCGGTGAGGACGATCCCTAGCATTAAATGTGCATCCAAAAAAGTATGTCAACCGTTGGATTTGGGCACGAATCTCGAAAAATAATGATCTAATGGTTGGCATCATTTGGGTGTACATTTGGCGTCATGAATCCGAATGTATTCGCGACTTGTTCGATGTTTTGATCCCTTCAAACACGATAAGAGGATGAATGTATTAGAGGTTTCATTATCCCTTTACGGGGCATCATTTGGATGAATAATTTTCTCTTAAGCCAAATGGCGAATATAGAAATTTCTTTCTTATGCTTGATGCCGTCACATAATATGGTGACGTGTTACCCCACGTGGATTAGAATTTATATCTCTTGCCCCTAAATTGTCAATGGAACAATCCCCCCCCCCAATCACACACACACCTTTAGGTAAATTATAAGAAACACTTCATCTAAAAAGTGGTTTTCAAGAAAGTCTCATGTGAGAAGTTGAAAAAAAAAATTCCTCTCATCCATGATCACCAACGAAACCATTAGTTTTGCAATGAAGTTTGGTTCTTCAAATATATGCACAAACATCTTAACGCATAAAATCTAGGTGAATAATAAAAATGTTAAATTGTTTGACTTTAGGTGATTCTTTTCTCCAAAATTTTCCTTCCAATTCCAAATATTTGTGAATTTGAAGTGTGAACGTCTTTCCAGATGTCTGCACAAGTGCAAGCACCAAAGAAATCGTTTTCATTATAATATTATCATTTTCCCTAGCGGTCATATATAGAGGAAAACTATCTTTTTTTGAACCTTTTTAGTTGAAAAATTTTCATGAGAAACAATTTCATTATAAAGTGACAATTTCTTCTTTTAGATGTTTGGCAACTAGATAAAGTAAATGAAAAGTACAAAGTAAAAAAAAAAATATCATGGCATTTTTATTTGTAGATGTTGTTTGGATGATAGAAAGTGAGAAAATGGAAAATTGAGGTCAGTTGTTATGAAATTAAGTTTCTATATATATAACATTGTTGGTTCTAATGAAAAATGGATAGTTACAAGTGAAAGTAATCTCTATAATATTTGTTTCTCTACTCTCTACTCATTTACTTTAAAATTTTGAAAAAGTGAAATCATTTTTCACTTTTTATTTACTTACTGGTCGCCTACAAATTGTCAAACAAGAAACGAATAGAAAATGTGGCATTATGTTCAATTTTTGCTCATTGTCCATTGCTCTCTAATTGTCAAATGCCTCGGTCGCGAAGTGGTGCCTTAAAAGCAAAGTTTTCCATTTAGGGGCTGTTTGGTTGGTTTCCTAAAATCAAAGAAAAGGAAATAGGATCATGGAAACCATTAAAAGTTAATTTCCATCCTTAAAAATCACCGATTTTATCCAATAATATGGTGACAACTTATCTAATCTTATATCCTTTCTTACTTTTAAGAATGAACCAAACACAATAAATGTGTCACATCATCCATCTCATTTTATCTCATCTCATCTTTAAAAATGAGTCACATCATTCAATAATATGATGACAACTCATCTCATCTCATTAAAACTTGATTTCCATTCGTTTCCTAAAAAAAAAAAAAATCATGAAATAGGTTTCTCTAAATATGAGTCACATCATCCAATAATGTAATGACAACTCATCTCATCTATTTTCTTAGTTTTAAGAATGAACTAAACATAAGAAAAGAACCTATTATAGAAAATAGATTTTTTATAATTGATTTCCTTGTTCTTTTAGCCAACCAAACAACCTCAAAACAAGTCATGGAATTTATTTCTTAAAAAATCACCCACATCATCCCATAATATGGTGACAACTCATCTCATATCATCTCATTTCTTACTTTTAAGAAGTGAACCAAACACAAGAAAAAACCTATTATAGGAAATATGTTTTATTTTCTTATTTTTTTAGCTAACTGTAGGCTGTCTAAAAATTAATGTGGATAGTTGATCCCCATCAAAATACCAATGCTAAAAGTTATAATTTGACGACTTTCAGAATATACGAGAGTTACAAGTCGACAACTCTCATATTTCAAAGAGCCGAATGCAAGGATTACAAGACGACGATCTTTGCACAACTTGAAAAAAGAGATTACAATTGACGATCTCTTCAAGCCCAAACACAGAGCTCATAGTTGCGTTCCAAACTCAAAACGTAGAGCTTATCGTAGCGTTCCAGACTCAAAACGCAGAGCTCATCGTTGCGTTCCAGATTCAAAACGTAGAGCTCATCGTTGCGTTCCAGACTTAAAACACAGAGCTCATTGCTGCGTTTCAGATCCAAACGCAGAGCTCAACTACGCGTCTCAAGTTCAAGACGCAGAGTTCATGCCCATAATGCGAATTTCGCGTTTGACTCGTTCAAACACGAGCTGAACGGTTCCAAAACCGTTTCTCCTGATTTGAGGGGGATTACACCCCCACCAAAGAGCGATTTTATGGGTTAGTTACACCCCTTAATCCCCTATAAATAGCTAAAAACTTAGTTGAGTTGGAAGAGGCTGGAAAATCAAGATCAGAGAGCTTTTTGAGGATTGGCATCATCATCTTCGGCTAGAGCTTTGGTGAAGGATTTTCTTGGAGCTTCGTTCTTGGCTTGAAAACCGATTTCGGTTAAATCAAAAGAGGATTAATCTCCTTTTTCAAACTAACCCTTCCATAGAGTTTCGAACTCGTTAAGAGCTCTTTAACCCGTTAAGAGTTCCAAACTTACCTCACAAGTTCTCCTCAACATCAAATCAAGAGGAATCAACCAAGTTTCACGAGGCGAGGCGTTCCGATCTTCAACGAGATACAAGAATCAAACTCCCAACGACACCAAACAGAACTCAGTTTTAAACAAATGGAAGGATCTCTGTCGATTTCTTCTTCCTTTTGTAAATCAGGATACCG